ACACGATAACTTGTAAACTTTTTAACGAATTTTAATAAAATTTGACAGACTTATTTTTATAACAAAAATCTCAATAGACACAAGGATTTTGGAAATTAAATAAAGCAATTTTTTATTGTCTTTTTATCCATAATTCGTTTATATCAAAAATCTTTTTTCAAATGGTAATTAAAAGCTTATAAATTTTATTTCTTGCTTTCAGAAGAATTGATTAATAATTATTTATACATAAAAATTATTGACTACAAATTATTAGAATTAATCGAAATTAAAAAATTAAATTGTAACATAAAGATACAACAAAAAAACCAAATTCGAAAAATTTTGATATTGCAATGCATCCTCCGGAGGGATGCAAAATTAATGTTAAATTAATTAAACAATTAATTTCTAAATGTAATATATTTTTTCAATAATATCTATCATCAAATAATGTAAATTTGAAGATTTGTAGAAAAATATCAAAAATTGTAATTTCATGAAAAATGGTTAATAATTTTATAAATTTTTATTAAAATTACTAAAAACTGACAATTTTCCATTTTGTGATAACAACTTAATATTTAAATAAAATGTTTTCAAAAACGAAAACTATTAAACAGTTAAAGAAAGTTGTTATTGTTAAAGTTATTAGGCATTATAAATATATTATATATATATTATATGAGGAGCTGGAAATTAGAACTCGCTCTCCGCTCGGCTGAACTCCGTAGAGTCAGTCAAACGTTCGAAAAAATGATAAAAATTGAAATTCAACACTTTGAATTTTGAAAAATACAACATTGTAGGAAATTAAAAGGCGCATCTTTTTTCTCTTTTAAATTTTTTAATTAAACGAATAGTTTAGTTTCTAAAGACCAAAAACTGAGAAATTTAAATAGTTAAATTTAATTAAGTTTTAAAACATAAATCATCATATCTCCGACAATTATTAATGAATTTGATTCAAATTTGATATGTACACGTATTAGGGGCTACTAAAGGCGATAAAATAATAAAAAATTGAAAAATCATTAATCGTTAAAATTTTTTTTTAATAAAAATTGAGACCAGTTGATAATAACGTTTTCTTACTTTCATCGACAAAATGTCTGCGTGGAACTTTGTAGTTCAGAAAACTTCCAGTGAGACATTTGTTTATCACTATATGTATAAGGAAGTTTTCTGTAAAATATTAAATCAATTCATTGAAAACTTTTAAAGTTATTGAAGATTTAAGAATGCGCGGTTGGCGCGCAAGTAAGTCCACTAAGTACGCTATTCGCACAGTCAGCTGTTGCATGCATGTAATATAATTAGTTTCTCACATTGAAATATAAATTTCTATATTATTATTATTTTCTATTCACAATTAACATTTGTTTACAATTAATATTACAATGTTTGATCCAATATTTCGAATGTTATTTTTTTAAACAGATAGGTATAATTTACAGATTTTTTGTCATTTTGAATAAATAGTAAAATATATATATATGTCTAAAATATTACACAAATCATATTTATTTTCTAAAGTTTATAAACCTGGTAAAATCATAAAACCAAAATTTTACAAAATTTTTTTTCATACTCTCCAAATTTGAATATGTCAAAACTTGTCCACGTAAAAAAACATGTTCAGATAAATTATATAATAATAAAGTGCTTAGTCTGTCCTTCTGTCCTAACTTGAAATTGGCCTTTTCTGATTTCACGTGTTTTTTTGAATAGTAATCTTATGACGTGTCAAATTTTGACAATTCGTACAAGATAGTAATTTGAAAAAAATTTATTTTTAAGGTACCAGGGGCCAACGAATACCTATTAAATAATTATAAAAACACAGGCCTCGAATCAACTTAAAGACACAAAAAAGTCGTTTTAGTCGATTTATATTCCAAAAAAAAGTGGATTTGTTTTTTATTTTAACAAAAATATTTTACAAATTTTTAAATAAAAAATTTTTTTTTTAATAATAATCCTTTTCGAAGGGTTAAAGTTGAAATTTTTAGAAATAATTAAATGTCAAAAGATATTGTTAATTTTCACCAATTATTAAATTTTACAGAACTAAAAATAATTTATCAAATAATTTTTGGAAAACATTTTTTAAATTTAATTGAATTTTCAAAGATTTAAAATTGAGATTTTTGAAATTAATTGAAACTTTAAGTGATTTTTAATTAAAATTTTAGATGATTTCACTAAAAATTTATTAGAAAATGCGGACAAAATACAATAATTTGAAAATCATTTTTAATTGAAAAATGGTTTCAGATAGTTGAATTTTCAAAGAATATTATTAAAATAGTTAAAAATAATTGAATTTCCTTAAAGTTATAACTGAAATTATTAAATTTCAAAAAAAAAATTTTCGATGGAAAATTTTAGAAATAATTAAATTTTAGATGCTTTTAAATTCAAATTATTGAAAATTCAATTAATTTTGAATTCAAATTTTTGAGAATAATGAAATTTTATTTGATTTTACATTTGGAAAATAATTGAATTTCAGTTCATTTTGAATTGAAAATTTTGGAAAATAATTGAATTTTAATTGAAATTTTGGATAATAATTTAATTTAAGTTCATTTTTGATTGAAAATTTGGATAATTAATTTTGAATAGAAATTTTAGAAAATAATTGAATTTTATTTCATTTTAAATTGAAAACTTGGCAAATAATTAAATTTTGAATTGAAATTTTTAAAAAATAATTCAATTTTATTGTGATATTTTTTTAAAATTATAAACAATTGTTAAATTTCAAAAAAATTTTAATTGAAAAATAATTTTGATATAATTAAATTTGTGATGTATTTTATTAAAATGATTAAAAATAATTAATTTAGTGAAGAATCATTTTAGTTCAAAATTTGTTAAATAATTGAATTGAAGAAGATCTGAAGAAGATCTACATTTTATACTAAAAAATGTAATTTATTTACATTTTTTTTCAAATGTAAATAAAATGTCGTACTTTATTAAAAGTCGATAAAAGTCGTATTTTTGAAAAAGGTCGGAAAAAGTCGTATAATCCGAGGCCTGTAAACATATAATTTTCATTATTATCATTTAATATGTAATAATATTCTTATAAATTAAATTATTATTGATAATATTAATCTTTAATTTCATTATAACAAACAATTAAATACTGAATTTGGCGCGCTTGCGCGCGTTTAATTTTGCTAGTTTTAAATAAATGAATATACACTTATTTTTTTACATGGACGATTTTAGTGTTAAAATAAGTAAATATTAACTTATTCAGATTTAGAGAGTATAACTAAAACATAAATAAAACAAAAAATTTTAAAGAGCGATATTTTACCATTTATTCAAAATGTCAAAAAAACTTTAAATGTTGATTGAGAATAGAAAATAATAATAATATAGAAATTTATATTTCAATGTGAAAAACTGCAACAGCTGACTGTGCGAATAGCGTACTTATTGGACTTACTTGCGCGCCAACCGCGCATTCTTAAATCTTCAATAACTTTAAAAGTTTTTAATGAATTGATTTAATATTTTACAGAAAACTTCCTTTTATAGTGATAAACAAATGTCTCACTGGAAGTTTTCTGAACTACAAAGTTCCACGCAGACATTTTTCAAAATTAAAAATTTTGAATTTCAATTTTTATCATTTTTTCGAACGTTTGACTTACTCTACGGAGTTCAGCCGAGCGGAGAGTTCTAATTTCCGGCTCCTCATATTATATATTATTATATAATAATATTATTATTATCAGTTATTTTTAAAGAAATATGTACTTAAATAGATCCATCGAATCGTTTTGAGTCAAGGAATTTAGTTTTTTCAATTGAAGGGTAGAATGACAAAAGGGGTGAAGCGCCAATTCACTGTTTTTACATTTTTAAAAATTTTGCAGGTCATTTAAAAAAAAAACTGAGAAAACCGTTTCGATATATTAGTATGTTTTAATAAATAAACAACAATTTGTTGAAATAAACCTACATATTAACGATAAAATTTAAAAAAAAACTGTGGTTCCTTGAGGTTATATCAACTGCGCACATTTTCTTTAAGCATTAATTATAAAAACAATATACAGTTTAAAGGAAAACTGGAAAATTAGTTTCTTTCTATGGAATCGACGAAATGAATAGAAAAAAAAATTCCTTTAAAAAATTGTTTGTTTGCAAGAAAATTACGAATTAATTGCTTGCTTTGGAATTGAGCAATACTTTCATCTTTAAATTCAATTGTTCACTTAGTATAATCATACAAATATTTAAAAATTAATAACAAAATGATTTTAAAATTGTTTAAAATTGAAAATATATTATTATTATTATTAATTTTATTATGTAAAATATTATTAAAATAAAATTAAAATTAAATATTAAAATAAAACCTAAAAAAATAATATTTTTGATCAAAATTGAACAGATGGATAAAAATGTGAAGAATGAAATTCATAAAAACATTTCACCTTCATATCGTTTCTTTTTAACAATATCTTTTTTATTAATAAATTTTTTTCCGCATCTGCGAGGCATTTTCGATTTGTAAAAAAGCAATGTTTTGAAATTTGTTAAGTTATGCACACGGAAAAAAATGAATGGTTGCCACAGCCATACCTTTGGTTGTCTCAACCATATTATATTGAAAAATACGTCTCAACCATACCTCTGGTTGCTCCAGCCATATTAAATAGCTAGCTTTAAATTGTTAGCACAACTAGAATATATGGCTGTGGGAACCATATATTTGGAAAACATACAAATGCTAATATGGTTGTGACAACCATTTTTAATTGATGCTTCGACCATTATTTAGTGTACCATATTAATATTGTTGAAGCAACCATTTTATATGGTTACAATTTATGTTTATTTTATTTGTTTAATATTATCAATAAGGTTATTTTTGATTAATTTAAAACATTGAGTCCCATAAAAACGTATTTATTTTTTTGAAATAATCGCCAAATACAAATTCGTTAACAAAATAAACAATCGTATCGCATTTTTATTATATAATATTATAATTATAGTGCGTGCCTAAGTGTCGCAAACATTGAAGAATTTCCCCATTTACAAATTATGACTGGGAAAGGTGAATGTAAATTGTTTAAAAGGACGCAGTCAACTTCAGAAGTTTCATATAATTTATAAGCATGTAAATCGTAGTTAAAACCAGTAGTTCTTGCAACATTGCACACTAAACAAACATCACCGAGATCATTTTTTATAATAAAATTTATAAAACCAAATACAGGGAGACTTTCACCCATACATTCTTCTAATCTAATTATTATGCAAACATTTGGTTTATAATACTGGCCATTTCTTTGAACCCAGTTTAAACAGAGACATGGTCCCACAAAAGATTGAGGCAGTTTGTTTTTAAAAAGAAAATAATTATAACATTCGGATATATCGTTTAAACACTCAAAGGGACCATCAGATTGATTTGGAACGAGGCCTCTTTTTGTTAAAAATCTATAACACAAACAAAGTTGTTCCTTCAAACAGAGCGTGTGGGTGATATTTTTTCGACTACATGTTGCGTTAGCATCAATTTTCTTTTCGCGATGACTCGATTCAAATCTTGCAGTACTCATATTGATAATTGGTCCCGATTGTTCTAAACATTTCTTATAATGAACCCACAAATGTGCCTTAGGCCTCAAATTGTCATTTAAAAAGAGTTTATTAACTAAAAAATGATGTTCTTTTACCAAATTTGACAATATATTACCACAACCATTTTGAAGGCGTCGTGAGAGAACAAGATCGACTATTTGTCTTAAAATGAGGTAAAATTGCCACACCTCATCATGAGGAACGAGATCGCCAACAAGCATCCCAAAAATTAATATAAAATTCTGCATTTCGCTTGCGGTCATTTTTAATTTTTTTTCTTTAATTTCGGATTGTAAAATAAGGGGAGGAACGTTTTTTATTCCGTTATCTTTATAGTTAAAGCTACGCAGCCGGTCGTTTAAAACGTTTAAGGAAAGTCTATTTTCAACACATTTGTTTGATACATAATGATCTAAAATTAAGGCCATATCGAAACCAGCAGTTCCCTCGGTTCCTTCGTGTAACCAGTCAGTAAAAGTTTTGAAATAGTCTACTTTATTCCATACCGACTCTTCTTTTATACCTGATTCTTTGGAATTTAAATTACAAACGTCACTGTCATAAGAAAATTCTCGAGCATTTTTTTCTTCGAAATCTATGCGTGCTTGAAGCTTGCTTGCCTTGCAGAGGCGGCAATAATAGTTAGAATTAAATCCTGCATTAAAGCCCAAAATAGAGTTTAATCCGAGATTGTCTCCACAAATAAGACCTAACGCGAAATAAATTCTTTCTATACCGTTTTCCGTTTCGATAAGCAGCCCTTCGTGTTGTAAAAAATTGAGTTCCTCGATTAGTATTTTAAAAACATTATAATTTCCGAATTCGACTCGATCTGATGCATGAAATAGTAAAGCAGTAAAAACATTTTCGACAAGAGAAGAAACCTCAGGAGGAAGGCATGGAATAGAATAATACACAGCTCCTAATTTTTGGATTCCGGCATGAGATCCAAGAGGGTTATTCACTTCAAATTCATCGAAATATACGAACAGAGGAATAACGAATTTTCCTTGGAAATGATTCCTTACTTTTGAGCGCCATAATTCTCCTTGAATGAAATTTTCTAGAATTTCTGTTTCTTGCTCTAATTCCTGCATATACAATTTTGTTTTAGAAAGAACTTTAGGAAAACTAAATACCTTTTGCAAAACTGACCTTAAGGGTAAATATTTTGCTTTAACAGGGACAATTTGTTTAATCATATGGCCTTGCTTTAAGACATTGTCTATTCTTGAACCAATTTTGTAGTCTACAGAGTCGATAAAACATCCAGAATTTATTAATGCCTTCATTCGAAGATGTTCGGATGTCAATGAGTTAAATAAATTGTGAAACTTATCTAATTCTTGTTCAACAGAAGAAATAGTTTTTTCATTAACGTTAGCGTTTTTTAATATATCGAATATATTAGGTTTTAAAGAAAAAGTGAGATCTGTTAAAAGCTCGCTCGTATCTTCGACGATGGTTTGAACAAAGTTCCTAAGGATTTGTCGATTAGAATAAAGTTTAGCTATAAAACTAGTAGACTGTTTCGAGATATCATTTCTAGACTCGGGCGAATTACAAAAATCATGGAGAATTTCCTCCGCGGACTGACTTGGTTCTAATTGACGCTGTTGGATCTCGTCACTCAATGATGAGGGATGGCAATTGTTTTCTTTTATTTCAAAATCGAAGCTGTGATTTTTATTCGCGTGTTTAGAAAATTGGTGCCAATTAGAAAAACTTCTGTTACAATCTTTTTCTCCACATTTAAAAATATCTTTTTTTCCTTTTAAATGAACAATGTTTGAATGAAGATAAAGGCTATCTATATAATCTACGGAAACATAATATTCACCACACACAGGCATTTTGGCTTTATAAATTTTGTAACCAGTCTAATTTTTAAAGTAATCAGTCTTTCAAATACTTTAAATGGTACAATATTATAGTAATAATATAAATTCTGTAATAACTGTCTACAGACTTAAAACTTCATAAAATATTCAGTCTCTTGAACACATTATATATCATATTAATTTAAACATTAGAAATATTAAAAGTTAACAATAATATTTAAAGCTTTAGAAGCGTGAATTAAATACTTTAAACCTTTTTCTTTAGTAAATTAGCATGTGAGAACTTTGATAAATCTTTTTACCTCTGGAAGGTTAGCAATTTTGTCGATTCTGTCATTTGAAACGTGGACGTTAAATAGCGTCTTCTGAAGCACCGTCCATTGCCTTTGAGTTTGAATCGGGTATTCGCAGTGTAGAGCAAAATAGCATTTAAATGCTACTTCTAGAGCACGCAGCGGGCTTTCTACCAAGATGGGCCGCCCATCGATGACGACATAACTGGAAGTGATTTCTTTGAGATTTTCACCAACTACAAGTGGAAATGGTTGCACAGAGAATCCTTTTTGAACTGCAAGAGCATTGATTCTTTCAAGTTTTTTCTCGAAATCAGCGATCACCTAAAAAAATACATATTTTAGAACATAATAATTAATTATATTTCATATATTAAGTAAACTAAAAAAGTTCTTGAAATAATTTATACAATTTTCATAGTTTAAATTTAAGTTAAATCAATCAAATTTTTTTAAAGTCTATTATAAATTTCAGTTCATTACAATAAAATTTATTCGAATCATATAAATAAGTGAATAGTAATAGCATACCTTAATATGTAACATTAAACCTTGTACCATTTAACTCTAGATGCCCTCCAGGCTTTACCTTTAGGCACTTTAACTGGACTTACAGAGAATAATTGAACGAATTTTTGAATTAGATCTGCTTCTGACTCTACACAAGCAAAAAATAAAATAATTTATTGAAGCAAAAGAAAATTTTTTAAATTATAAAATATTCTATTAAAGTGTATCTTACCAAATTCCTTAAGTCCAAGTTTTTGAAGTTCTCTTTTCACTTTACTAGAAAATAGAACCCAGTGTGAAAATATCCCGAGATGACTTTGCGGAAAACGAATATTGAAGTCCACCTCCAGCTATGTTAATAGAGAAAAGTAAAAATATTAATAATAAATAGAGAAAATTACACTTAATTCCGAACAGAATTACTCAAAGCTAAATAAAATCAATAAAAGTTAAACATTAAATAAGTTATGTGTTTATAAAAAAAATGGTACCAATGTAAGTCCTTCTGGTTGCTTCAAACACTCGTATTTATCAAAATAGGAATGAACATTGGCACTAGGTTGAACATTACTCAGAAGTTCATTTAATCTATGAATCGATGTTCGTTTCCAATATTCAACTACTGAATTCCAAGGTTGAATACAAGTTTCCAAAAATCTGAGGTATGATTCGACGTCATCATCTGTACCCTCTTGAGGAATTAGATTAAGAGGAACCGCTGTTCCTTGATTAGGTCTCTTGTCTCTTAAATTGGCATCTCTCAATTCTCTATTTATGGATGTATATTTATCATATAATTTGCCTTTGGCAATCAATGTTTTCCCTCCTCTTGGAGTAAAAGCCGGAACATAATAAATAGATTCATCCTCATTAAAAAACGCTTGTTTGATTTGTCGAGACAACTCTTTAAAACGAATTGGTGGTATTATTTTATTAGTATCCGCACCATACTCTGCACAAATAATGCATGCGGATAGTCTCAATCTATATTTATTATCAAATCCATCCTTTTCGTATGTTTTCAGTAGTAATTTTCCTTCTGCAGTTAATTTTAAACGTTTTACGACATCATTTTCTATAATTGCATTTTCTGGCGTTGTATCTCGTTCCGTTGTAGTTTCGGCTGCTGCAGTTGCAATCGTCGCAGATCCTAGCGTTATGGCTTCTTGCGCTGAATTTAGTTGTCTTATGTCAGAAGACGTGCCATTTGTCTCAATAAGGCTAAATACTTCAGATGTGCTAATTGAGTTATCAATTTCTATAAGCACATTATTTTCATCAGATTGAATGACATCAGTCTGTGATTGTTCACTGGTACTCTCATAATTAGTTTCTTTTTGATAAGAATTGTTCTAAAACAAAATTTTTTAATGATATATTATATATTTTTTTTAACTATATTTATTTGTTTGATAGATTTTTTAAAAATTATTATGTGCATCAATTTCAAACAGTTTTCCAAAAAAAAATTTCATTTCTTTTGGGAAACAACATTCCAAAAATTATTGTTAAGTAGATAATTTGATAAATTAATTTTGATAACTGGTGACAATTTTAACCTAAAAAATTGTATTAATTTGTATTATAAAAGTTTTTATGAATTAGATTTTAAATATTTACAACAAAAAACACTGAGCAAAATACCGTTGTAAATTGAAACATTACAACATTTACAAATTGTTTGTAATTATCTAAACTGGCTTTCTTCTCAGTGCACGTGCTAAGCTAACCTACAAAATATTTGTTTCTCTTTTTCTCTTAAAAGAAAAGAATAATTAAAATAAAAAAAACTTACATTTTGAATTCTCTGATTTTCTTCTCTAATTTTGGAAATAAATTTAACTCTGTGGCCAAGAGGGTGTATTAATTCTTTTAATATAATTGGCTGAGAAGCCAATTCCAGCACACTCGCTGTGTCTTTGAATAACGCTTCTAGAAAAAATTAATAAAAAATTATGGAAACAGTTAAAATTACGAATAATTAAAAATAATAAATCTTTAAACTAAAATCATTTCCATCAAATGTGTATATTATTAAGTTTTACTAAAGTAAAAAAGCAAATAAAAATTGAATTATAAAATTGAACACGTGGAAAGATAACCTCTACAAATGATTTACTTACCTTCAAACTGCGGAATATATTCTTCGAAGCCTATTTTTTAAAGTAAATCTATGCACTCTGCTTCCATTATTTAAATTAAAAAAACATATTATCCGGGATCAATATTCTCAAATGATTATAGAAAAGGTTTCGAACTGCGGACATATACGCACGTTTCGCGACGCTTGGAATTAATGCGAGTAATATAGACGTAATATATTGCATCACCGCGCAGACAAGGTGCGCAGGCGTCTATAGGGGCCTTAGCAATTCAAAAATGGATAGGATAACAAAATTGTTAAAATCCAAACCAATATTGTTCCCTCAACTAAAGCTATGGTTGATATATCCAAATCATAGGTACAAATATTATATGGTCTCCACAACCATTCTTTTTTGTCAATGTATCCATACTGAAAGCTGCTTCAGCTATATGTATAGATGCCTCAACAATATTATGACCAACAATATTTTTATGGTTGGGACAACGATACCTTTTCTTTCCGTGCATAATATTATTGACTCACCACATTCTTTTGTTTTTTAATCAGGTTGCAATAAAGTAAATTTGAGGCTATTTTATTAATTTAATTTCTATTAAAAACTTATTTAAATACACAATAAAAAAAGAAATCCTTCTACAGAAATGTGTAAATGAATTTTTTGATTTTTGTATGCAAAAACCTCATTTTCGATAAATTGGCGCTTGACCCCTTTTGTCATTCTACCCTTCATTTATTAGGAGACATTTTAAATACAAATTTTTTTTCATGAAATACAGCTTTCAAGAGACTGCTTTCGACAGTCTGACGCATTCTATCTATCTATGATCGAAAATGTTTATTTTTAGGTTGATGCATTTGCTTCTTTACCCTTGTTGTCTGATAATGTAGTATTTGTTATTCTTAGAAGATGATCGAATTGAGGATTTTAGTAAAGGCCCACGTCAAGTATTTCTACTACGCGTGGGCGCCGATTTTTTGGACGGCAGTCTTCAGGGTTGTAATCAATTATGTTTTGCAGTAGTATGTTTTCATGATTCTCGACTTGTAGAAATAATTTTTTGGCTATATCCTGTGAGAATTTGCGTATACTAGGTATTTGCAAGTCTTTGTGTAGTTGTTCATTTGAGACAAACCATGGAGCTTTTGTTATTATCCTTAATATTTTGTTTTGTATTACTTGGATCTTGTTAATGTGAGTGTTTGCTGCCTGGCCCCAGGAGGCAATTGCATATGTCAGAGCAGGACGAATGACAGTAACGTAAATTAATTTCTTTGAAGCTAGATTTAGAAAGGGGCTACTCAGTAGAGACCAGAGTTTAGTTATTGCCATGAATCCTGTTTTCTTGATTTCGTTGGTGTGCGTGTTCCAGATATTTTGCTTCATTCGACCAGTTGATGACTTTATCCACAACTTCGATTTTATCAGGAGGTGGATCACGTTTTTTAGTGTGAAATACTGCTTGCGTATTTTCCTTGTTGATGGTGATTTTCCAGGTGTCCATCCAGTCCACAACTTCATCCAGGGATTTTTGAAGTCTGGATATTGCAAGTTTAGGACTACGAGACTGAGTTATAACGGGAGTGTCATTTGCGAACTTCTTTTTGAGAATATGTATTTTTTGGAATATCGTGAGTGTACAAGTTGTAAAGTATTGGACCAAGAACAGAGCCTTGCGGTACTCCCGACAGAATGGGCCTGGTTGAGGAGAAAGTATCTTCCAATTTGACTGCAAAATTCCTGTTTTGAAGAAATGAGTGAATAATTTTGACTAGATTTGTGGAAATTCCCGCCATAGTTATTTTATGAATAAGACCTTCATGCCAGACTTTATCGAAGGCTTTTGATACGTCCAGGTAGGCAATTGCCGTGCAGTCTTTACGTTCATAACCTTTGTGAATTGTTTCCACAAGTCTGAGAATTTTCAGGTTTTTAGAGTGGTTTTTGCGGAAACCAAATTGTTCTGGAGGCATTAGATCTAATTCTTCAATTTCTATCAGAAGTCTTGACAATATGATACGTTCAAATATCTTGGAAAAGGAAGAGAGAAGACATATCGGCCGGTGATTTTCTAGTCTTTTATGATCTTTGCCTGGTTTTGGAA